AAAAAAAAAAAAAAAGAAAAGAACTTTCACTTAGTAGCTACTCAGCAGGCCTTGCTCATCTTGCTGTAGCCTGGGAGCAGTCATTTCCAGGGCTTCCTGTCTTAGCTATAGAGGTTTGTTCTCTTCGGGGCACCTGGGAGCCCACTTACTTCCGATTGATATGGACGCACTTGTCACGTTTCCAGCCCTGCTTCCCAGCAGTCTGGGCTGTTGTTTGTATGGCTTGAGGACAGACGCATGAGAGATGTCCAATGTCCAGGCCCTGACTTGCGTGTCTTCAGGAGTCCTTTGAGCTTTTGGCTCCCTGGAGTCCTTTGAGAGGCCATTGTCTGGAAGCCTCACAGGGCTTCCCACACACAAAGGCCCTGGTGATATTCCCTTTTTCTTTCTTTCTTTCTTTTTTTTTTTTTTTAGACTGAGTCTTGCTCTGTCACCCAGGCTGGAGTGCAGTGGCGCAATCTCGGCTCACTGCAACCTCCACTTCCTGGGTTCAAGTGATTCTCCTGCCTCAGCTTCCTGAGCGGCTGGAATTACAGGTGCACACCACCACGCCCAGCTAATTTTTGTGTTTTTAGTAGAGACGGGGTTTCACTGTGTTGGTCAGGCTGATCTCAAACTCCTGACTTCATGATCTGCCTGCCTCAGCCTCCCAAAGTACTTTTTTTTTTAGTTTAATTGAAATTTTTAAAAATTTTTATTTATTTATTGAGACTGAGTCTCCCTTCTGTCACCAGGCAGGAGTGCAGTGGCACAATCTTAGCCCACTGCAATCTCTGTCTCCCGGATTTAAGCGATTCTCCTGCCTCAGCCTCCTGAGTAGCTGAGTCTACAGGCATCCACCACACACCTGGCTAATTTTTTTATATTTTTAGTAGAGACAGGGTTTCACTGTGTTGACCAGGCTGGTCTCAATTTCCTGACCTTGTGATCCACCTGCCTCAGCTTTCCAAAGTGCTGGGATCGTAGGTGTGAGCCACCATGCCCGGCCTATTTTTTATTTTTTTGAGACACAGTTTTACGGTGTCGCCCAGGCTGGAGTGCAATGGCACGATCTTGGCTCACTGTAGCCTACATCTTCCAGGTTCAAGTCATTCTGCTTCAGCTTCCTGAGTAGCTGGGATTACAGGTGCCTGCCACCACACCTGGCTAAATTTTGTATTTTTAGTAGAGACGGGGTTTCATCATGTTGGCCAGGCTGGTCTTGAACCCCTGACCTCAGGTGATCCACCTGCCTCGGCCTCCCAAAGTACTGGGATAACAGGCGTGAGCCACTGGGCTTGGCCTTTTTTACATTTTTTAAATAGAGACAGGGTTTCACCATGTTGTCCAGGCTGGTCTTAAATTCCTGGACTCAAGTGATCCTCCTGCCTTGGCCTCCCAAAGTGTTGGGGTTACAGGTGTGACCCACCACGCCCGGCCTATATTCTCTCTTAGTTTTCCTAGTTTGACTGTTTTGAAGTATCATTTTTTTTCCATTTTATCACAAGGCCTGCCAGCTGTTGGCAAGTAGGGAGTGGCCCATACATGCTAAGGAATGTGAATAAGAATCCAGTCCTAGCCTCCGGCAGCCTTTGGTGTAGGGTGTCTTAACTTCAGTTTTGGGGGCCAGACCATTCTTTATGGCGAGGGGTCATCCTGTGCACTGAAGGGTGTTTGAGCACCCCCCTTGGCCTCCACCCACCAGTTGCTTCCAGATGGGATAACCTAAAGTGTCTCTGGGGTTGCCGAGTGTCCCCTGGGGGGCAGAGTTGCTCCAGTTGAGAACATGAATCTGAAGGGGAGACAGACACGGGCCAATGTGTGGCCAGTGGCGACCTGGAGAACTTGCCAGAAAGAACAGCCTCTTACTGGAGCCTCACCTGGGTCTTCTGAGTCAGCATCATTTCTTGTCTGGTAATCCAGGCCTTGGTTGTAACGTCACCTCCACAGAGAGCCCCCCAGCCTCCACCCTGTGTCATTCTTACGCCACCCTAGGTTACATATTTCAAAACGGCTAGGAGAAGTTCAGAATCCATTGTTTATTGTTGGTTTTCCTTTCTTGTCGGTAGATGGTGAGTCCTTAAGATGAGGTAGGCACTTCCACTGTCTTGTTCATGACCGTGTCCACTTCTGGAACATTCCTAGGGAGCAGTGCATGGTGCAAGAATGAGAAACTTGATGCTGGTGGGCACGTGGCCAGTCTCAGCTAGCGGGTCCTCTTCAGGTCAGACCCTGCCTCGTGGAAGATGACAGCTGGCTTGGACAGAGACAGGGATAAGCAGCCCCTCTACGTTCAGAGGGAGCCCCCGGCTACTCTCTGGGGGAGTCCAGCTAGTTGCCAACAAGCTGGATTCTCGGTTTTGTATCTTCGTGGCTCATGGAGCAGACAGTGACCCCTTTCCCCGAGCCAGGCCCTGGGGTTTACTCAGAGGCTCTGCCCTCAGGGTTCCTGCACAGTCAAGGTGGGGAGTCCCATAAGAAACAGATGGGCAGGTGTGGGCTTCTGTGCCGTGGCCAAGGGCAGAGAGAGGAAGGAGCAGGCCAGGGAAGGGTGGGAGGAGGTGCTGTGGGCAGGGCCTGTTTCAGAGGGGACTGTTCCTGGTGGCGTGTGGTGGCCTGCGGTGAGAGTGAGTGGGTGTGCTCGAGGAATGGCCAAGGAGACCGATGGGGTCAGGAGCTGAGGGAGAGAAGAGGGAGAAGGAGCCGGGGCACGAGAGCCACTGGAGGGTTCTGGGAGGCAGTTCTGCTGCTGTGCTGACAGTGAGGGGTCAGGAGGCTCTTGGGAGACCAGGGAGGGGCCCCAGGTGGTGGGGGCAGAGTAGACGGTGATGGGGACAGAGAGGATGGTGACAAGGACCGGAGAGGGGCCCTGAGTGATGGGGACAGAGAGGATGGTGACAAAGAACGGAGGGGGCCCCTAGTGATGAGAACCAAGTAGACAGTGATGGGGAGAGAATAGGTGGTAGCAAGGACCCCCCAGTGATGGGGATGGAGTGAACAATCATGGAGACAGAGTGAATGGTGACAAGGACCGGGGGGGTTCCTGTGTGATGGGGACAGAATGGACGGTGACAAGGACTGGGGGTAGAGTGGACGATGACATCGATTAGGAGTGGGGGGTGGTCAGTGAGAGTGAGAAGTCTGGGGTGATCCCAGGTTGCCTGATTCTCTGGGAAAGCGTGGGCCCCTGCTGAGGTGTGCGAGGCCGGGGCAGCTAGGGAGCTGCTCTGTGTCTGTGAGTTGCCTGCCATTTTAGGCTCCATTAATCAGTACCCAGGTGGGGCTGTGTGTGGATGCTCAGGTGGAGGTGTCGGCCATGCGGGATGCTTTGTCATGGTGCGGGAGGCGTTTGGACCTCTGCCTGTTGAGGCCACCCAGGGCACGGGGAGAGAAGGGGTGCCAGAAGGAAAGAGAAAGCTGGGCTTGTGCTAGGTGGTTTAGAGCAGCACAGTTGGCAGATGACAGCTTGGAGGCCAAAGCCAGCTGGGCTCGGTGTGGTTGGTTATGATTTTTACATTTCAAAGGATTAAATTTTTCAAAATGTTTTATATTGTGATACCGTTCACATAACATGAAATCCATCATCATCATTTTACTGTATTCACGATACTGTGCAGCCATCACCACTAATTCCAGAGCACTAACATCACCTCAAGATCAAACCCTGAACCTTTGAAATCTCTGCCCCCAGCCCCTGGCAACCATGAGTCCGCTTCCTGTGTGTATGGATTTGCTTGTTCTGGCCGTTTCACGTCAATGGGGTCATATACCGTGTGGCTCTTGGTGTCTGGCTTCTCACTCGCATCGTTTTTTCCGGTGTCGTTCACATCGGAGCGGGTATCAGTGCATCCTTCCTGAAGACTGAATCATCCTCCACTGTGTGGAAGGACCACATTGCGCGTGTCCATTTGTCTACTGATGGATGTTTGGGCTGTTTCCATCTTTTGGCTGTTGTGCGTAGTGCTGCTACATTCATATGTGAGGATGTGTTGGAACACCTGCTTCCTTTCTTTTTTTTTTTCCGAGACA